TCCTACACCAGCATTGTTTGATGTTACACAGCGAAATAGTAATGACATAATTTAGCTCTTTAAAATATATTTTCCATAACAACAGCTATCTGTGTTAATGCAAAGTGAATTGGAGCACTCCGGCTGATTGGCGTTTGTTTACATTTCTAAAAACAATACGCCATATTGAGCTGTTTCTCTCTGTCGAATGAAGAAACTCTGACTGATACCAAATCGGTTGGGTTTCGATCCTGGATTGAGGTATTCGGAAGTCGAGTCGCACTGTGATGCAGCGAAACAGTACTGTCTGGGAATGACATACATATATATATACACTGCGTGCCAAATTATTATCGAGATAACTTTTTTTATAATATTTCAAAAACCGTCCAATCAATGTAAACAAAATGGCACCATATTTGTTATCAGTACGGTGATTTGAGTGTGCCAAATTATTAGAAAGATTTAGTAAAAATCCCAGAATTGAGCACACAAAACGTTTATTAATGTTGCACGTGAATGTTTATGATCAAAAGAAGCTAATAAATGAGATAATCAAACAAATGATAACAGATACAAACAAAGGCACAGTTTTAAACAAATTAATAGGAAATGTGCTTTCCCTGTTTTGAAATTACTTGAAGAAGTCGACCATCCATAGAATTTGTTAATTGTAGGATGTCATCTGCTGTAATGCCACGAGATATGTCAAGAATTGCTTCCCACAACTCAGCGTTGATCCTGAATTGTCATCCGTTGACGTACAGTCTTCGCTTCATGATGCTCCAAAGGTTTTCGATTGGGTTCAAATCCGGAGAATTTGCTGGCCACTTCATTTTTCAAGGTCCATCGAAGCCTAACTGTTTCAAATATTCAGTAGTCTTGTGAGCAGCATGTGAGGAAGTATTATCTTGCATAAAAACAATGGCCCTTCTGAAGGCAACTCTTTGCCTTTTCATCCACGGTTCAAGATGCTCCTTCATAAACGCTATGTACGCATCAGCAGTCATTGTGACGCCATCTGGTACTCTCCGTGTGCCCACTAATGTTTTTCCAATAATACCACCCCAGATCATTATGCCTCCACCGCCTTGCTGGCGTCTCAAACACTGATGGCGATTCTGTCCGTTCATTACCCAGCCTTTGCACCATCTATCTGGCCCATCAAGTGTTGCTCGAGTTTCGTCTGTGACCAAAACTTTAAATCAATCTTCATATTGTCATCGGCCCATTTTAATCGATTTTGAATGCGATTTCTCATCAACGGAGGCTTCGATACAGGTTTGACTGTTGTTGCTATTTCCCTCAGATACCGACACCGAGTACTTTTAGACACAGTAAGATCCCAATGCGACTGAAAAGCTCTTGGCTGGTAAGTCCAAGGTTCTTTGTGGCCCCTCGTTTAAGTCGTGACATGAGACGACGTGAAATAACCCTTGGCTTGCCTTTATCTGCCCTTTTGCGTACTTGTGTAGGGTCGGCGGTGAACTTTTTCGCTGCTTGATGACACCTCCCTATCATTTTAGAAATTTCTAGGGTAGATTTACCTTCTTAGAGTTCTGAGGTGATAGTTTTCTTTTTAGCATTACTTAAACTGCTTTTATGGCCCATCTTTTTACTAAATTCTTACACTTTTCTAATAATTTGGCACGCTCAAATCACCGTACTGATAACAAATATGGCGCCAGTTTGTTTACATTGCGCAGATCAGGTCGAAAATTCCAGTGATTGCGCGGGTCAGTGTTGCCAATTTTGTGTGAATTGATTGGACGGTTTTTAAAATATTATAAAAAAGTTATCTCTATAATAATTTGGCACGCAGTGTATATGTATGTATGTATGTGTGTGTGTGTGTGTGTGTGTGTGTGATATGTACGTATATATTTAGAGAGAGAGAACCTGTCTAGAAAAAACGGAATCCAAACGCCAACAATTGAAAGAAAAAAAGGAAAACAAACAAAAGAGAGAAAAGGTGAAGAAGTGAATGTAAAGTGAAAAGAAAAAGCGACGAAAAGGACAAATAATCACGACATTATACACGGACGCACATCCGCGCAGACGAGCGCGAACGTACACACGCACACATACTCTATGAAAAAAATTTACACCAATGAAATGTGCTCATAAAAAAAGAAAATTCGAGAAGTATACGCAGTCACTTGCTGTTACCTCCTCTCGAGTCCGTTTACCAAACTCTAGAATCAGGATGCTGAAAGTAACATCAATTAGTTAAATGACAAACCTTTTCTTCTTTTATGTGCCGTGTCCCTTCAGGACGTAGGCGATCATAGCTCTCCACTTCCCCCTATCCCTTGTAGCACTCAATAAGTTTTGTCCCTTTGTTACTTCTCCCAGACCCTGTTCTCTCATCCATTTGCTTAAGCCCGCTACCGTCACATACCGTCACGTGTTGCTTTCCCGTTTCTCTCTTTCCGTGTGAGTATCACACTTTAACTGTATTAATTCTATATATATATATATATATATATATATATATATATATATATATATATATATATACTCAGATATATATATATATATATATATATATATATATATACACACAACACAGATATATATATATATATATATATATATATATATATATATATATATATATATATATATATAATCATTAAAGACACAAAAAATAATGATAATCGGGGATGTTCAGGCGTTCAATATACCTTCAGATTATTTTTTTAAACCTTATTTACGTCTTCGCTTTTCTTACCCAAAGTTAAATTTCCAGATTATCAAAATTAACGGCCATTTTTTTGTCTGTTACAAAATGATGCAGATTTATATGCTGATAATTTTGTATACACATTTTCAGGATAGGCCTTATTTCTCTCACCTTTTTGCTGTCATTTTTCCTTTCTTTACATTCCCTTCTTTGTATACATTTCTCTCTATCACTGTATCTTCATTTTTATTTACTACTTTCGATTTTGACCACTATTTGAAAAAGGTATGAACGCTAATTTTTTCCAGCGTGCCTCATCAAGCCTTCCAGATATCATATCTGGATGATCAATAGTAGGTCCATTGGGGAAAAAGAAACGAAAGCGTTGCAACACAATGTTCCCCTCATTTAAAGTCACTTCCTCAAGCAGATATTTTTAAGAGATCGAATCATCATTGGAAGCAAATGACAGCTAGCATCGTTTTTTTTTTTTATTATTATTTTTACTATTTATTTGTTCTTCAGTTATTCACCTTTTTTGTTGTAAAATCCTGGCAGTCTTATTTGCTCTTTCTCTTTTTCAATAAGTCATTGATACATCGTTTTTTCTTTCTCCCCTACATTTTCATTCTCTATTTCGCTTTTTTCAATAAGGACACAATCTCTGTAAATAGTCTTTCTCTTTCGCTCCTTATATACCCTTCTTTCTCTCTCTTTTTCTATCTCTATTATTCTCTCTTTCTTAATAAGAACTACCTCTCTATATCACTTTGTGTCTCTCTTTCTCAGCATTTTTTCAGTACTCTCTCTCAGTATTTTTCTGTCTATCTTTTTTGGTACCATTCTCTTTTTCTCTGCTCTATGTCTTATTGAAAAATAAAAGAAAGTGAAAATAAGACATAGAGCAGAGAGAAAGAGAATAATACCAAAAAAGATAGATAGAAAGAGAGAGAGAGTACTGAAAAAATGCTGAGAGAGACACAAAGTGAGATAGAGAGATAGTATTCGATCTTTCTTTCCATTCTCTTTCCCTGTCTTGTTCTCTTTTTATCAGCATTTTTCAATAAAGAGCTGTATATTTCTTACATTCTCCATCTCTGTTCGAGATTCTCTTTGATACTTCCTTTTACAACAATCGTTTTAATTACACACTCTCTCTCTCTCTCTCTCTCTCTCTCTCTCTCTCTCTCTCTCTCTTTCTATATATGTATATGGAGAGAGAGAATAGACAGAGGGAGAGAAAGAGAGAGAGAAAGAAACACACCCGCGCACGCACGCACACACACACATATATATATTTTTCTTATTCCCCCTTTTCTATTTCACTCTCTCTCTCTCTCTCTCTCTCTCTCTCTCTCTCTCTCTCTCTCTCTCTCCTTTACTATCTATCAGCATTTCTCTGTATGTACTCTCTCTAGCTATTTTATTCTGTTTAGCTCTCTCGGTATTGTTCTCTCTTTTTCTGTCCTTTTCAATAAGTACGCTTTCTTTTCTTTCTTTTCTTTCTTTATCCCTATTTTCTCGCCCTTTATTTTTATTTCTCCTTTACTCTTTTCTCTTTCATTATTTCGCTCATCATTGCTATCAATTATTTGCTACTCTCTCTCTCTCTCTCTATCTATCTATCTATCTATCTATCTATCTATCTATCTATCTATCTATCTATCTGTCTCAGTGGATTTCTGTTCTCTTTCCAAATTCTTACTTTCTCATTGCTTATCTTTTCTTTCTCTTTCGTCATTTTCCTTTCTCTTTTTGATTTCCCTTTTGATCAAACTATGTTTCTCTTTACATTGCTTTTTTCCAAGATTTTCTTTCTTGCTTTCCGTCTTTTATAGTTGTATTTATTTTTATTTTTTCAGTCTATCTATCTATCTATCTATCTATCTATCTATTTTTCTTCCTTTCTCTCTCCATTCTTCGTCATCACTTATACTTTCCCTCTTTATCTCTATTTTTCTATCTTCCCTTTTCATTTATCTATCTATATTTTATTGTCTTTCTTTCTCTCCTTTTTTTCTCTCTATTTTCTTTCTCCATTCCCATCATTCACCTTCACTCTGTCTTTCTCTCTATTTTTCCGTAATTTCTTTTCATTTATCTGTTTGCTTTATATTATCGTCAGTATTTCCCTCTTGTTCTCTTTCGTTGTCTCTCTCTTTCTTTATCCCTTCCCATTTCTCGCTTTCATTCGCTTTCATTCTTTCTTTATCTATCTACATTGTACTATTGATTTTCATTCTCTCGCTTTCTCTTCATTTCTTGCTATCACTTTTTCTTTCTTTTACTCACTTCATATTTCTCTGTTTCCTTTACACTTAATTTTGTCTGCATTATGTACTTCCTTCTCTCTTTGTCGCCAACCTCTCACCATCACATTTTCTTTTACCCGCTCTATCTTTCCTTATTTTTTTTCTACCACTCCTTTTCAAATATCTCTTTGAAGAATAAGAAGAAGAACAAGAAGAAAAGTAAATCCTTTTCTTTTCCAGATGTCTTTTATATTTATTTTTTCTTCTTAATATAAATCTTCATTCCAAGGAATATCGCTAATAACATGCAATAGGCAATTTACTGTTTTGCCGCCATTTAGAAAGCATTGCTCTGACGCAATTGATTCAATCTAAAAAAAGAACGCCGACACATCGATGCACATTCAATTAGGTTCGATAACATAAATATGTCTCCTTTGCTACGCCTTTTAGAAATGCCGTTCGAAAAGTTCCTTGAAAAAAGGAACAACTCTTGCTTTCTTTGCTTTTTACAAAACTTTATAAGATATTATTTTTCTCGGCGAAATCACATAGCTTGTAAAATACTTTGTATAATAAAACGTGTTTCATTTTAACCATGGAAAATTTTGCAGACTGAAAAGTCTTGCTTTCGCAGTTAGAGTTTTATATATATATTGAGTTATAAATATGAAATTTCTTCAGTTAAAATCTATTCCAATTTCCAACTAAATAGATGCAGTAAATTTAAATATAACTTTGATAGATTTTTGGTTTCTGAAACATCGACCTAATATGTATTAATGAAATAAATATATATTCATAGTTTATCTAAAATAGGCAATTTCAAATTACTTTAACACCTTGATACATTTATTTGGACTAAACTTTTAAAAACATAACGACATTAAAAAGAAATTGTAAAATGTTGGTTTGAGGGGCCTAATTTTGTTTCGGAGAAAACTGTCTGAATTATAAATGTCAATTGCTGAGAGTTTAATAAGACATTGTTTCGTATTTGCAACGCTCTATATCTCATAATATTACTATCTTTATGTTTATGTTATAATAATTCTTTATTTTTGTAAGTGAATTAGCTATTTATTTGATAATAATTGATTTTACAAAAATAAGACGTGAGAGAAGATGGGTACATATTTTTCCCAAGGTTATTTGTGCTTAAAAAAACTAACGCTAACAAGCTCAGTTGGGGGGAAACTGAATGTTTACATTAAATGCCACGAAAATTAGTAGCGTTCCATCATCACCCTGAATTTTCACTTATCGGGATGAACGGATGTTCTCTCAGGGAGACCTCATGAGCGCCCATTAGAATTTAAGTTCAACACAGATCTCAAGTGGGATTCGTACATACGATCCATCGCTAAAAATGTTGAAAAAAACGTCGTTACCCTATACCGCTCTAGTAAGTACCTGACACCTACTATCCTCTAATATTACAAGAACCAGATCAGGCCGAAAATGGAGTACTGCTGTTACATATGAGCAGGAGCTGCACAGTCTTCACTTTCTAGTCTCGATAGAGACCAAAATCATTTCCGCGTCCTTGTGGATGATAAATTATTTTCTACGCTACAACACCTTTCTTACAGACAAAACATTGCAAGCCTCTATCGCTATTTCCATGGAAAGTGCTCAGACGAACTACAACACTTAGCTCCACCAGTTCTAACCATCAAGAAGCACCCTCATTCTCTTCGCATTCCATTGGTGTGATGTAAGTTCCACTCGAGGAGATTCTTCCCACGAACCGCTGATTTTTTAAACTGACTCCCAAGTGGATGATTCCTGTATCATTACAAAGTTGGCTGGGAAGCATGAAGCCGGAAGAGAGTTCCACAAGTGAGAAGTGCGAGAAAGGAAACTGTTAGTATAGAATTTATTGTTAGATCTAACGAATTCAAATGTAAATTGGTGAGACTTAGTTGTCAATCAGGTACTGCGCTTAAATTCATAAAGTCTAGGTACCATAGAGTAGAGCCCATCCGAACAATTACCTTGAAAGTATTTATAGAAAAGGCACAGAGAAGCAATTTTAAGGCGGTGGAAAAATGACTGAAGCCGAGACGCCACGTCAGGGCCAATAATATTGATGATTTTTCTTTGGATTTTATCAAGAATCTTTAAATATATAGCAGGAGCACCAGACCATATATGGCAGCAATATTCAAAGCATGAAGGAATGGTAGAAATAGATATGTAAGATATATTCTGGACAGAAAAATTGTGTAGCACGACATTTTCAACTTTCTTAGCTGCTGATCTATCAATGGATTCACTATAATCTTTCTATTTCATGTCAGCCAAAAATGTTAGCCCAATAGTCACTCTCCCGGAGGTTAGCTTCAGCCATGCTGGTGGAAAGAATAAAGGCGTCTTTCTATGCCTTTATGTATAAAGAACAATTTTATTTTGGAGGCATTAAAATTAACAAGCTATTCTCTGTCTCAGTTATCAACAGACAGTATGCCGTTTTTGACATCAGCCGCCAATTTGACCTTATCGAACCGATGAGACTTACTATCAAGACAGGAGTAAATGTTTGTGTCATCAGCATAGATAATAAGTTGAGAGCTGATATCATAGGAAAGGTCGTTAATGAAAATTAAAGACAAAGCAGGATTAAGGATAGAGTCCTGGGGTCACCTGCGTTAGATCCAGAAGAGTAGCCGTTCAGGATAACTTTCATTTCAAGATTTGATAAGAAAGACTGAATCAGTTTTAAAATTCGTCCGGAGACGCCATAACTTTTCAACTTTGAAGAAAACCGGTATGCTAAACCTTGTCGAACAATTTCGAGATGTTCAAAGTAACAGTCCAAGCTTATCTAAAGCTTGATAGACTCTTTTAGTAATAATCGTTAATACATCAGCAGTTGACTTGGAGAAACGAAAGCCATATTGCTTGTTTAAAAGGAGGGACTGCGATGTTAGAGGCTTAACTAATTCAGCATTGATTAGGGCCTCTAAAAAAAGAGCAAGAAGGCTAATAGGCGGATAAATGGAAGGTCGCACGATTGTTCTGAGTTCATAAAGACATGAGCAACAGATGAGGATTTCCAACAAACAGGAAAGATAGAGGAAGCGAGACATTTAGGTCCACATGCTTTGTGGGTATCCGATGGAAGGGGTTATATGCATATCACTCGATAGAGATCTAAGTGGAAAGTTAGGCAAGGATTCTCCAGATGAGTCAAGAGTAGAGTTTAAAGAGAATTTACGGGTGAAACATTCTGCTTTATCAGCAGAGGATGCTAACACCTCAAATTAATTGAAGAGAGGAGGAATAGAAAACTTGCTCTTAAATAATACACTATTACAGAGCCGTCAGAGAGCCAAAGTTGTTAGATGCAATATGGTGCCTCGTTCTCTCAGCAAACAAAGACTTACCTCATTTTAGGACACGTTTACATTCATAACGTGCAGCCACGAATAAGCGTTTGTTGTGATCGGAACTGTCACGCTGGTATAGCCGGAAATAGTGATTCCTGTGCACTCTAGCGACGGAACATGCTGGGGAGAACCATGGAGATTAGTCATGGATAAATTTTACGGTTATTAGTCTGAAGAATTCCCAAGAAAAACAAAGGTATGACATATAAAATAATGAGAATAACACGCCTTTATGAATCAAATAGTTTGGTTTGACATTCTTGAAATATTATCGAGACGCTTGGAGAAGCAGTGGCGTAGGTAGAGGAGTCGTGGGGAGCAGTCCGCCACAGACGATACTTTTATGGGGCAATACTTTTAGGTCTGCTGTATAAGCTTGTATAGAAAAAGAAAAAATAAAGTTACTTTGTATAAAGTTGTAGTCTTCATTTTAGAAATAAAGATGGTCATTTTTTTTTTTACACTTTTTAGTTTTTTTTATATGTTGATTTTGCTTTTTAATTAACTGTTACTTTTAAAGTTTAAGCAAGTTTGGTGTATCAAAAGTATACTAGTATATTTTCGTATATGAAAGTAATATTATAATGGTACACAAAATAGTTAATATATATATATATATATATATATATATATATATATATATATATATATATATATAGAGAGAGAGAGAGAGAGCGAATTAATATCAGCAAAAGGTTTGTCACAAAGCTATTGATGTTACCTTCAACATCCCGGACTTCAGTGTTTCGTAGATGGATTCGTCCGTCCACCCGTCAGGGGTTATCAGCAATTGACTGCTTATATTCTCTATTTTCTTCTTTATATACACTTATCATTGGTGCAAGTCTTTTTCATAGTGTGCGAGTGTGGATTCGCGCACGTGCGCCCATGCGACCGTCTGCGCGGATGTGTGAATGTGTGTCATGATTATTTGTCCTTTTCGTTGCTTATTTTCACTTACAATTCCTTAGCCTTTTTCCTATTCTTCATATATATATATATATATATATATATATATATATATATATATTATAAGTTATTACATACAAGTAATCACTACAAAGATGCATATTTTTTTCGATGCCTAATATAAGCATCTCATCAGGTGGTGAACAAAGATGGTTATAAACGATTTTATTTAAAAATCTTACATATGAAACATCACTTCTTTTTACATTTTTTAAAAATTTAGGAAGATATCAGAAGAATTTTCATAAAAGGATAAGAAAGAAATATATAAAACATTCCATAAAAGGAAAATAAAGAAATATGCAGGTTTATCCAGAAAAAAGAAGATGACAAGAAATTAATAAAAAGAAAAAAGAAAGAGAAATAGAAAGAGTTAATATAATAAATATCTTTTCTTTTTTCTTTTTTGTATTGAACCCTCTTTTAAATTAACGTTATAAACGTTTTAATTTATATTCTTTTCGTTCTCACTACATTTGGATATATATATATATATATATATATATATATATATATATATATATATATATATATATATATATAAGGCAGGATGCGTGTGTGTAACGAATGCACGGCCGCAATTTTCGACGGATTTGCACCAAAATTTACATGCACATGCTCCAAGTTAGCGGGAAGGCCAAGACCGACTTTGCATTTCCCAACTCCCATTGACAGTGGAAATAATCGATTTTTTCATGCGTCTACGGCAGTTTTCATGTAGTTTGCGGCCATTTTCTACTGGCCAGAGTGAGAGCCTATAGCTGGCTGCCACGAATAGGCAGGAAGATTCTATTGGTCAGCGTGAGAGCCAACAGCGACTGACACGAATATTAACTAGCATGCTAGCATGCAAAAAAAAATCAATTGCTGCATTCGTCACAAGTGGGAAAAATTTAAATCTGCATGGCACTTTACTCCAATTGGCTCATTCGCTTGCTTAAACTCAATGTTGATTCTGATTCCGCAGAACTGGGTTGGGTGTGAAAAAGTATTTGTTGTTAACATTCTTTTTTCATTCGGTTTTTCCAGTTACGAGTCCTTTTTTTTAAAGCTGGTCGTTTTGTGCTCATTTTGTTTAGTTCTTTTTTCGTAACAGATTTAATGTTTAGTATAGAGCTTAGAAAAAATTCGCAGTGTGAGATAGGCAAGAAGTAAGGCATGTAACAACATCAGCACAGCAAAGGGCACTCCTTTAAAGGCAAGGAAAGGCAAAAATATTTTAAGTCAAGTGATAGCGATTGCTATATGAGTCGTACGATTTTTGAATCAAGCTGCTAGTATATATATATATATATATATATATATATATATATATATATATATATATATATATATATATATATATATATATATATATGTGTGTGTGTGTGTGTGTGTGTGTGTGTGTGTGTGTGTGTGTGTGTGTGTGGGGAGTCACTGCAATATTTTGTAATTTTGTTGTTGTTTTTTGTTGGGGGGCGATGCGACAAATTCAAGGGCTGCCCCTAGCGGCACTCACTCTTCCCCTGACAGCACACACTCTAGCTACGTCACTGTGGAGAAGGCTGGACCGAAGGTTAACAAAGACGAGGAAACTGGACCAAAGGAATCATGAAACATAAAAATACCATTATTCGATTCATTCACTTTCCCTTTCGTCCTGAATTCCAATGTCTATCATACAGAAACTAAGTAAAACAAATTTTGGGTGAAACAAAAAAATAATGCACGATTCGGTGTATAAGCAATCATTTTTTCCATGCAATTAAAATATATAGAAAATTACTCAATAAAAAGTGTTGTATTATTATATATGATTCATTAAATCAGCCTGTTTTATTATCGTTGTTATTTCTTAATTCAAATAATATAGGATGTTTTGGCGAAAGATTTAAAAAGTCCATGAATGGATTAACAGTCAAAAACGCTTACTTTACTAAGTTATCTAACACAAAGACCTAAAATTATCTTTTTATCTTCTTCGAAGGAAAATAATATTCAAAAACGAAATTTATAATCCGTTCTTTTATCTTTTAACCCATATCTCGACGTAAAGTTTTTATCTAACATGAAGTAGGACTTTTAGTTGATTTCAGAAGAAACGTAGGCCAACTACGTCCTCTTCAGATTTGCAATGACGAATCATTGGATTATAATTTACGTCGGCCCGTGTTAAATTACAAATGAGACACTGATAAACAATATTTGTTTGAATAGAATAAGTTGAGTAATCTATGTCATTGTTCTGAGTATGTGTGTATAAACGCGTTAGCGTGAAAGAGAAAGGGTCATTTAGAATTTGCTTTGTTTCATTTTCTTTCTTTTCTATTGTTTTTTTTTTTTAAACAAACTTAAACTTTCTGTTGACTCATTTTGTCTCTCGTATTCGCTGTCTACCACTGTATCGTTAGATAGATAGATAGATAGATAGATAGATAGATAGATAGATAGATAGATAGATAGATAGATTCAAGTTGAGTCATTAGTTGGAGACTTTCAACAGCAGCAACAACTAAAATGGAAAGCACATATAACTCGAAGAGAAAATAATAGCATAATAAAGATGTTGACATTCCACACTACTTCAAATAAAAGGTTAGGAAGGAAACCCCTATCTATACTGGAAAGAGCTACTGAACTTGAGAAACCTATTTTCCTGAAAAATTGTTTTAAGAGAAAGATTTTATAAATTTCAACCGATAGTAGTACTGGCTGTTTGGTCGATAAATGCCGAATGTTTCCTTATAAGGAAACGGCTAATATTACGATTAATACCGGGTAAAACTGCATTGCGCAAATCTTCTTAAAAAGATAACCTGTCGGCTTTGAAAATCAGAACTTAAAAACATGTTTATATTTTTGCTTTTTTTTTTTTACCTTGTTTGAAACACTGTCATATGTATGACTACCTCGTTCACCAAGTAAGATGTGTGTGAATGTATTCATATGTGTGTGTATGCGCACAAGTCTTAGTTCAATGCGGATTTATTTGAAGTACCTCTTTGTCTTTTTTTCTTCCGTGTCAAATTTTGAAACGACAAATGGGTCAGTCGTGAGACTGCCTAATGTTTACTTATCTTGTTGATATTTTATCGAAATTAGGACAAATCAAGGATAGCACTTTACTGAATATTATATATATATATATATATATATATATATATATATTAAGGGTACTGTGCAAAAGTATCATATAATAGAAATATAATCATTTATATACAGGGTACTGTGAAAAAGTATCTAACCACTTTAAATCATTGTACATTCCTAATAATTACCAACTTATAGGTGGATGTTTTTATCACGTTTTCTATAAGTGAAACATTAGCTATTGGAATATTATATATATATATATAATATCCATGCATATTTATCATATATTTATAAAGGAGTTTTGAATGATAGGGGAAAATACAAGATGACCCTACCACTCCATAAATAAAATGACCGTACAAAAGTTTTCAGCCACCTTAAATAAACCACACCAGTTAAGGTGTTTTAAAGCATTGAAATATCTGTAATTAAAATGTATTATAAAATATTCATTTCAAGAATTTATTGTACAATGTTAATATTTCGAGTCGTTTCCCTTAGCATGAATTATGCCTGGAAAGGGATGCATACGAATCCTTTATCGTCTTCACAAGTAGGAAATGGCGTCTTCTGTGACTGAGTTTCTACAACACTTTACAGCTGCGTAGATTCTTCTGACAAATCCAGGCCTCGATATTTTAGTCAAGGCTTTGAGTTGCTCGATCTTTCAATACAGTGAAAACTTCGTTAGCAGAATTCTTCTCTGTTGCATACCATCTGTGGCATGGAGTTCCTCACCTACATCTAAGTCTGATATCAAATAGTCCTTCAGCAACTGGATGTATTTGAATCTATTCAAGCTACTATAGATTTTAACAAACCTTCTTGAACCATCATTTTTATATCTCAAATTATCTGATTCTTATCCGCAAACTCCACTGTTTTCGTTGTGAAAAGTGGTTCGTTTCATTTTCTTATCGGTCTTCTGACAATTTCTTACCTGTTAGAATGCAGCTCTGTTCAAGGTTCATCGCAGATTGTGATCTTCCAGGTATCTACATCCTAGAATTCATGACTCTTTCACCAAGTTAATCTTGACTACAACTTAATGCATGGTTTTGTAGCTGAAATGCATTTTTGTTTAATGTTGGTTTCATAGCTGAAATGCCTCCGATGTTCTCGAAAGATACGTTTCGTGTTATCCAAAGATAATAAATTACTTAAGTAGCACCTATATATTACTTGTCTTCTTTGACTGAGTTTTTGCAGTCTTGATCATTTTCTGTACCATCCTATGCTTCCCAGAATCAGTATTCTGATATCTGATCCTTAAAATATCTTCAGAAAAAATGCCCACGTACGTTCAAAGCAATACACAACAGGACATATAAACACGCATTTGTGCAGGAATGTTAACATAAATTCTCAGAGGGCTTAGAAAATTTGATACTCACGGGAGAATTATTGAAGGAGAAAGGGACAAAGGAAAATAACACATAACCTACTTAGCGAGCTAGAGTAAATGAATGGCGAACCAGGGTTTAAGAGAGATAACAAAAAAATCAAATTTATTAAGAGCTATAAATAACAGGAAATTGTAGAGAGTCGTGATCACCAACGTCCAGAAAACAGATAGAAGAGGAAGCAAAATTTCAGATAACTTAATAATATTTACACTATTTACATTCTTCGGACTGTCACATTTACGACGTTTCGGCCGTGTAAACTCCGGCTATCATCAGGTAATATTTGTTGGAATTTCAAACCGAGCAATTTAGTCCACGGGGGTAGATTCTTCTAAATAAATAACGGGTACGGTTCCAAGAAGAAGGCCGGAACTTACGACGGCCGAAACGTCGTGAATGTGACATCAAAGACGAGGACAACACTCCGAACAAAGTAAATAATGTAAATAATTACAATACCTCCAGAAATATAGACATACTCAATAATATGTTGTTTTTTTCTGGAAATAGTTTCCGTTTTCTGAAATTAAGCACCAGTCAGTGTTGACGCTATACATATTTACCGCTATACACCGAAACTAGGATTGTGATAGCTACCAGTCTGCCATATTCCCTTCTTAAATCCATCATCACCGAGAGGGCCTTAAATTTTCCCCTATCTTAATGAATAGATGTTCTCTCAAGTAGGTTACGTGACTTGAGCGCCTGTTGGAACTTAAGCTCAACCCAGATCTCAAGTGGAACTCTTACATACGATCCATCGCTAAAGATGTTTGAAAAACAGCCGGTTCACTGCAAACCTTTAATAAATACCTGACTCTTCCTGATATTCTTTACGAGAACCCTATCAGACTGAAAATGGTGTACTACTGCCATACATAGACAGGAGCTGCACAATATTCACTTTCCAGTCTCGGTGGAGTTCGAAAAAATCTAGGTGGGTGATGAATTATGTTACACCCTATAACCCTTTTCACATAGACAAAACGTTACAAGCCTCTCGTTACTTTATCGCTATTTTCACGGAAAGTGTTCAGATGAACTATATTCCTTAGTTCGACCAGTTCTAACATTCAAGGCGAATATCCGCCATGCAATCGACATTGTATCGAACCACCCTCATCCCCTTCGTATTCTGTTAGTGAGAAGTAAGTTCCTCTCAGGTGGTATCTTCACACGAACTGCTACTTTGTGGAACCGACTCCCAAGAGGATGCTTCCTCGATCTCTACAATCGTAATCTGTTCAAGTCTAGGGTTAACTATTAACTAAATATCCTTATAAAATCTGTCCTTTACCTCTTACCCTGTGAATGGTGAACATTATTGTAAAAAAAAAGAGCAACTTTTAGAAATATATTGAAAGAAAGAAATATATAAGAAGGGTGAAAGAAAGAAAGAAAGAAAGAAAGAAAGAAAGATGTAAGATGGGTCTAAGAAGGTTATAAGAAGAGCGTAAAAACAAAAAGAAAGAAAGAAAAGTCTAAAAAAATGTGTAAGAACGTTGTAAGAAAGAAAGAAAGAAAGATTAGAGAGTGAAAGAAAGAAATAACAAACAAATAAACAAACAAAGTGTAAGAAGGTTATAAGAAGAGTGTAACAAAAGAAAAATAAAGAAAGAAAAAGATAGATGAAAGAAGTTTGTGCGAAATAAATAAAGAAATATAGAAGAAACAAACAAAGGTGTAAGAAGGGTATAATAAGGGTGTAAGAAAAAAAGAAAGAAAGAAAGAAAGAAAGATATGAGTATTTAGTGACCCCCCTGTAAAGGATAAATAAGAGTTATCTTCGCTTATAGATATCGTATTCCATTACAGAAATAGAACAAATCATTCACGACTACGATATCTGCCTTCGACTGAGAGGCCAGACAAAGTTAATAATAGCTAAAAGTGATCAGCATGGGACAAGCAGGCAGGACGGAACTAAAACAAAACTAAGAGATTTATCATTCACTTTACTCACTCATTTCACGCCTACAGAGTTCTTAGACTTGAAAAGTAAGCGTTTGTAAGTATCTTCACCGGTCTTTAAGTGCCAAACTCCAGAAAGGTTATATACTCAAAGAATGCTAAAAACGACTGGCTCTGATTCATTCTTCTTCTAAAACAGAATATTTTTCGGCTTTGAAATCGATGTTTAAAATTACTTTTTTTTCCCATAAAATTGCTAACAATATATGCGAAGTCTTGAATACAGGGAAAAAAGCTATTAAAATGTTTGATGTTAAACTAATTAATAACTTCCGATTTAATTGCACCATTTATCATCGCTCATTCTATTACATTGAAATGGTTTTGATGATTCGGTCATTATAATCAAAGCCCAACTTGACAAGATAGTTTATTTGTTCTTATATGACGTATAGTTGAATGAGTTGGCTTATTTGAAGAGAAAAGGAAACGCGATCGACTTATAGTGTCAAAAACACCTACACGCACATACTCATATATACACACGTATATATGTGTATGTACAAAACTAATGTATATATGCATATGTATGGGTGTACAAGGCACCATACACGCATATATATATATATATATATATATATATATATATATATATATATATATATATATATAGAGAGAGAGAGAGAGAGAGAGAGAGAGAGAGAGAGAGAGATGTGTGTGTGTGTGTGTGTACCTGTGTCTGTAGTTCAAAATTTACACGATTTCAAATGGGAGCCACCATGCCACCTACACGATCGATCATCCTCATTATCTTCTGTATTCCTGTAGTACGAAATACGTTCCAATCGGACATCTTCTTCCCAGAAACTGTGGAACAGACTCCCAAGAGGATGTTTTCCCAATCACCACAATCTCTTCAAGGCTAGGGTTAACCGTAACATTTTCTGCATAGCCCTATGAACTTCACTTCTTACCATTTCTTACGCTCTTACAACACCACATAGTAACCCTCTTGGGCTATTGTATCGGAATATGTTAATATGGAAAAAATTATGGAGAAAAGAATGGTCAATAAGATGCACATCGTGATCAAAATTATGGATAAACTGTCAAAGACTTTATGTTTTGTCCTGTGTTCAATTACTTTCGGCCAACTCAGTCATTATCAAGAACTGAGTGATTTCGGTTTGATAGAAAAAATTTTGTTGACATTTTTGAAGATTTAAATTCATCCAAAATGATGAAATGTAAAACGATTACACGGAGCTCGACCTGCACGGGAAAAACATATACAAAATACTTCTACGTATTGTTGTTATTTTATACGCATATAAAATATTTTATACACATTCAAAGTAACGTCTCCTGTGGTGAAAAAGAATTTATTTAATTTGAGTTGTTTCTATTGTATTGTAATGGCTTTCAAAATTTTCTGTCTTTCCTTACAATGAGTGCTGTACAGTATTTTGGTAACATCGCATGTGGTGAGAAAGAATTTATTTAATATGGCTTGTTTCTTTTGTATTGGGATGTCTTTCAGAATTTTTGTTTTTTCCTTGCAGTGAGTACTGTATAGTATTTTGATATTATCTAAGAATATTTTCTCATGCTGATTTTTTGCTTGTCTGTGATGTGATCATCAGTATGTGCCGAAATTGCACCAATTTTTGACAATTTACAAGACACCCTACGAAAAAGTGTTGTCCATGTAAGAATTTAATTTTTCTGTTGCTATTAAAGATGCAATATATAATTTTTTTTTTTGTTGATATTGAAGTTTTCCTTAGTCAGGATAATACAAAGAAGCATACTTTTTCCAAATCAATTACAGGAAAAGATTTGGTAGCCAGCGCAAGTTCCGGTCTTGCGTGGCTGCTTCTCTTCTCTTTGTTGCCCTGTCGGCTTGAGAATAGATCAAGCCACAGGAGATGGGTGTCACTTTCTAGGAATCAATGCGCCACTTCAGCGCGATCTCCATTTTTTGCCGGTTCGTAACGAGGTTAAATGTTAATAAAATAGCGATTTGTGTGTTGTTATTTGATTCAATTTTAACATTAAATTCACAACATTCGATCCAGTTGTCTTCACAACCTATAGGGTGATTCATTTGTAGTAAAACAAATCATAAAGGTGTGGAAATATTTAACTAAGTGAAGGACTCCAACTATTTGTATCGTGTATCTTATTTTTACATTTTTTATATATACTATTTAAAATTTGCTGTACTTCAGATAGAAGGGTACTCACTATCAGGAATAGAGTGTTTGTAGATGTAAACAGTATAGGCATAGAAATCAACATTTTACTAAATGCTAAACATTGTTCTATGGCGGGTAATGTTTTCTATAACTTTTGCCATTATACATCCTAATGCTAGATATATAATTTTAGACGTAAAGCTTAACGAATTCACAGAATTAAAAAAAGAAACTGATATAAATAATTTTGATAACACTAGACACAAAATACTACCTACCGACTCAATAACAGCTACAATTGAAAATAATTTATCTAAGCGTAATATAAAATTTGTTACATCTACTTCAAAACCAATAAGAGATTTAATTAACAAAATACAAAATAATACAAACTTTAAACCTGAAGCAAGAATTTACAAAATAGACTATAAAAATTCCCAACATGTGAAATACCTAGGAATTTAAATAAAAGATTAAATGATCACACTGGATATTTTATAAAATAATACACCCAATGAATTCATCGTAATAGGTCTGACTATAATATCGACTTAATGCAGTTTTAATTAAAAGATAATATAATTAACTAGCAGTAGAGCCCGGCGTTGCCCGGAGATGTAACAGTAAGAGATAGATCAAGTATCGACCACCATAAAGACTGAAAAATAAAATTGACAAAGATTATTGTGTAAGGTTGACGGACACGCATGTCTTAATTAGTTTTTTTGTTTTGTTTTGTTTTTTTTTACGAATTGGTCAAACCCAAACTCAAGCAAAAACATTGTTTTCAATCGTTATGAGTCTACCGATTGAACAGAATTTTATTATAAACACTTGTCTTGTAAATGGAATTTTTAAAGCATTCTGAATGTAAAAATAAAGAAAAAAGTGTGCAAGACAATAAGAAACATTACCTGCCAAAAAAAGTGAAGTTTTGTTGAAATCGGTTGAAAAATGTAGGAAATCCGATCCCATATATAAACGAACACACACACACACACACAAACAAACAATCTGGGTTTTATAATAAGTATAACTCGATATGAGTTGTCCCCCTTTCATTCTCGCGACAGCAATTCCTCTTAATCGTGTTTTCAAATTGATTTCGTGCAAAAACAATTGTGTTTTTCCAATTTGGGGCACTGTCAGAACCACCGCAAGGTAATTTTACGTAGTCCTGTGAAGTTTAGTTGAAATCGGTTGAAAAATGTAGGAAATCCGATCCAATATATAAACGAACAGAGACACACACACACACACACACACACACACACACACACACACACAACCTGGGTTTTATAATATGTATGATTAACGTTAAAATGTATTGAGAGTGAACTAATTTAGCAATCTTCTAAGATAGATTTACTTCCAGATTCATACACTATATCTCCTTTTTCTAAAAAAATGACTACTGATTATAACATGGAATATTTAAAAATGTTAACGATAAAAATAAAATAAAATAAAAAACGACGAAAGTTTAATGGCCTTGAACGATTATTGAGACTTAAGCTCAAACCAGATCTCAAGTGGAATTTGTACATACCATCCATCGCTAAAGAAGGTAGGAAAACAGTCAGCTCCCTGCTATCCACTACCTTTACAGAAGCCAGATCTGACTTACAATAGTGTACTGCTGCCTTTTTATGGACAGGAGCTACACGTCTTCACTTCCCAGTATTGATAGAGTTCAAAAGAGTCTACACGGACTTGTGGGTGATGAATTATTTTTTACCCTAAAAACATTTTCCCACAGACGAAACGTTGCAAGCGTCTCGCTACTCTGTCACTATTTCCATGGAACGTTTTCAGATGAACTATATTCCTTAGTTCCATCAGTTCTAACCATTACGGCTTAGACCCACCATACCACGCACATTATAGCAAACCACCCTCGTTCCTTTCGTATTCTACTGGTCTGATGTAAGTTCCACTCAAGCAGCTTTGTCGGAAAAAAAAAACTTTCGACACAGTAAAGTAGGGAAAACCCAGAAGAGAGCAGCGACAGCCTGGTAAGGGTTGCAAAAGGAATCCTCCTCTTGCGACCTGCTCCAACTAGGTCGAGTAACAGAGCAGAAAAAAAGAAATAATCCTTCAGCACGACAAATAACCAGTCACGTGTCGGCTGATAGAGAAAATAGGTCAATCAGAATACAGAGGAGGGTTTTTATAAGGAGGCTAACTGCTTCCCACAATCCTCCTCCGACCAAGACCATAAATATCAGTTGGTCATTTGGTTCCAGTTTAGCTGGACACAATTCCCCCGAGGCTCAAGCAACCCGTCCGTAAGTAACCCCTTCTCTCTTCCTCTTTCCTTTTCTTCACACATTCCCGACAGCAAAAACACAAAAAAAGACGTGAAAAAAAGAGAAGAGAGAAAAAAAAGAACAAAAACAAAAAAAAAACGGGTAACAATGTCTCTCCCCCCTGACAGGCGAGTTGAGTTCTTATTTCTAAATGGCTAACTGATTGCCAATTAGGCGGGAAGCAGACTTGGTCTACCCCTGCGTCGTCTTTGGGGCGCACACTCAGGGCAGTACCACTTCTGCCTTTCAGGCGGCTCCTCGTCAATGCCAACACAACGAAAATGGAACCATTCATCACAAGAATCACACCGATCATGTCCAGATTTCCCTGAGGAGAGTTGCACACAGGACACAACCAGACATGCTCCTCATCGTTGGCAGCAGAACATGATGGAACCTCGTCCCTCTCTGCAATCAAAGCACTCCCAGGGGGTGACACAGGACCACTAGTTGGTAACTCAGAAGAACGGTTAGCTGTCAGGAAAGTTCCAGTGGGTAGAGGTGTTTCAAAGAGTGTACCTCTTCGAGACCACCCCCCCTTTCGGACACGAGCAGACCTGACCACACCATCATCACCGGGTATGAGATCTGTAATTGTCCCCAAGACCCAAAATGGTCGCGGTTTCAGAGGACTCTTAATCAGGACCACATCATCTTTCTGAAGCCGGTTCTCTGTCCGCAACCGTGTGCGTCCCGGACCCTTCTTCCCAGCTCCAGAAGGTATTCCTTGTACCAGGACTCATGGAACCTTAATAAATACTGGTTCCTGATGTCCATTGCTTCCACGAGCCTTTTTCTACTGGCTGGTACTGCAGAAGCGATGTCATTTTGTTCAATCGCAACAACAGCCCCGGACTCTTGTTGGGCCTAAGTAACATGTTGGGTGATAGCAGCAGCATTGTTATCAGCAGACAACTGATAGGTCAGAGGTCGGTTGTTGACCGATCTCTGAATATCAGAGACCACTGTCAAGAGGGTAAAATAATCCAGTTTACCTCTGCCAAGAATCTTAAAAAGGCAATCCTTCACCGTTTTAATGCAACGCTCCCATGTTCCCCGTACCAAGGTGAAAACAGAGGGATGGTTTTTAGTTTTTAACCCGCAAGAACCATACTTGCTTTTATACTCCTGGAAGACAGAGAGGCGACTAAAAAGTCTTCCGCTTCCCAGAAAGGTTTTAGCATTGTCACTGTAGATTACTTCCGGAACTCCACTTTGGTTGGTGAAGCGAACCAGGGCTTGAAAGAAGGATAGCACACTCATGTCTGGAACCAACTCAATATGTATTGCTCTGATATTCAAGCACGTGAACAAGAGCAAGTACATCTTCTTGTCCTGCTTACCATCATTCACCCAGAAATGGCCGGTGAAATCAACGCCTGTATGCTGGTAAGGGACCTCAAATTCGACTCGATGAGTTGGTAAGCTGGCCGCAGCACTCGGCAGTACTGGTCGCGAATTGTATCGTTTGCATCTGGCACATGACTTTAGAACCTTGTTGACGGCCTGTCTTCCTTGAGGGACCCAGTAGCCGCTCCGCCTCAACTCAGCCAAAGTAGATCCAGTTCCAAGGTGACAACACTTTATATGACAATCCAAAATAATAAGTCTGGTCACAGGGTGGTGTTTCCCTATCAGGATAGGGTTCTTGATTTCATAGGTAAAATATGAAGATCGGTCGATTCTTCCTCTTGATCTGATTAACCCATCCGAGTCCAAAAAAGATCCAGGGCACGAACTCTGACGGGTTCAGATCTTCCTGCTGGCTTCATTAAATACTCAACCTCTGAAGGGAATTCATGTCGTTGGAGAACTCTCATCAGGTAAATGGCTGCCTTAGATCTGTAATCCCACTCCTGTCCTAGCCGAATGGCTATGAACTTGAACACCAGTGAGGTAACTCTCAGTAACCCAGAAAATGTTGAGAACCTGTGAAAGGGTATGACGGAGAGGTATTCTTGGTTCAGAACCATAGAACAGTGCACTGAAGTACGGGCCATCTGCTGGCGTCTCGCTTAAACAAGGCAAGTCTTGTGTCGGCCACTGGATGATTCCCTCACACAACCAAGAAGGACCAGAACACCAAAATTGGAAGTTGGAACGAAACTTCCTCAACGTCATTCCCTCGTGATCAGATCGGCCGGATTATGTGCAGAATCCACATATTTGAAGAGAGTCTTCAGGCCGTAACGGGATTCTAACCCAAGGTTCATTTGCAGGACGTCCTTGAGTCGGTTTCTAGCAAAAATGTTTTTTGATGGCCATGGATTGAGACAAGAGCCAAGACAACACTACTTGGGCATCAGTAGCCACAATATAAGTTACTTGGAACAAACCCTTCACAGTTGTCCAGGATTGTTGGTAGGCACTTGAAAGCGAGATAAACAGCCATTAACTCCAAAACAGGTAGAGTTTTGTCTTTCATCGGAGCGACCTTAGCCTTAGCAAACACCAAGGACGATCGATGATTTTGCACAATGTAAGCGGCAAATCCATATGCCTCCGTGGAAGCGTCGCAAAGAGGTACATATCTCCAGGCTGTCTCGCATCGAGAACCTTTCGATAAAAATGGAAGTCACTCAGTCCAGACAGGTCCCCAGCAAGCTCCCTCCAATCACTTAAAACCGCAGTAGGGAGAGGATCATCCCAACCCAAACCATTCTTCCACATAGACCTAATAAGTATTCGGCTGCGAACCGTAACTGGGAGACAAAGAGATAAGGGGTCAAAATTTTGGCTGACTCAGAAAGCACTCCCTCTTTGTTGACGCATCGGGATCGCACCTGACGTGGCCCACGTGCATCTCTTCTGAAAGAGGGTTGTATCGGTAACCCAGTACCTTCTCCCATTCTTCATCATGTGCACTCAGTGTACCATCTTCTTTCATCCTGGCTCGGAGAGCCCTCATCGTTGGAGTTGCAGGACTGAATAACAAAGCCGCCTTCCTGCAAACGTTCCCGTGCCAGGGAGTACAATTTCGCCAGCTTCACTGGATCTGCTTCCGATATTACAAGGTTGTCCACATAAAATCTGTCCTCAATCATCCTGCGGCAAGCGTCCAGTGGGTATCTTGCTGCATGTAGTTTCAGGATACACCCCAGTACAAAGGGGCTTGAGGTGAACCTGAATATCAAGGTGGTATATCGAAAACAGCGAAGACGATCCCCATCCTTAAGGAAGAAACAAAACCGGTTTTTGTCAGTCTCCAACCTGAGATGAATCATCAAGAATGCCTTTTCGAATGTCTGCTAGCAGAACGTAATTGTTAGTTCTGAAAGACAATAATAACTTCAACATATCTCCAGTTAGATTGACCCCAGAGTAAGCTGCCTCGTTCAGGGACAATCCACCACCAGTCTTCAGACTGCAATTGAACACAGGTCTGATTTTTGGTAGTAGCTGTTGGGTCAGACCTGAAAACCGGTCGATGTGGAATCCACACATATTTATCAAATTCGTGTTGGGGAACAAAAATCTCTTCAATTATTCCATCCTGTTCTTGCTGACGGAACACCTCTAAGTATTCCAGATAAATATTCTTTTTTAGTCAGGGTTGAAGCCACCCGGTCCAAGATGCGCAAAGAAACGGCGTGATTGGATGGGACCCGAGCCAACTTATCAGAATGCCAGGGAAGCTCCACGTAATACTTCCCATCCTTGAGCTCCACAGTATCCTTAAAACGTCTCATCTGTTCTTGATCATAATCAGAGAAGGTATCCTCATCAGATATTCCTAGGGACTCCATGTCAAACATCCGTTCCAATCCTCTTTGTACTGCACTGTCAGGAAAAAAACTCCGCCAAAGGGTCAAGGTAGGTTGGTTGGTTTTCAAGAACGAAGCACAAATGTGAGGAATTCACTTCTGGGGGTATCCCCATTACAGTATTAAAGGAGAGGTGGGCCACTTCACAAGGGATCTTGTCTCCTGACAAAAGGAGTCCACAGTTCCAAAGGGAACCAGGCCTGACGGAACAGAAAATGCCCAACCCCTCAGACAGGGGACCAACTTCAATGTAATCAATCGATGAATAAGGTCCAATCCAATAATGCCCTTGATAAGCACAAGGTCTGACCCGGCCTCAAATTGGCCAGCCAAATTATAGTCAGCTGCCCTAAAAGCACCCAACAGGGTCTCCAAGTGAGCCAGTCGTACAGACAAGTCCATTGCATCAGTGACCAAAACAGAGGAAGCCAAAGCCTCACCAGAACCAAGGTCAACTCCCAGAACCACCTCCGTGAAATTCCGGTCACACTCACCAAGGAGGGTGAAAAGTCTAAACCGACAACTGACTCCAACAGTCTCAACTGAACCCAAGTCCCTCAGTACATCAGCAGACAAGTACGAACGCCCACTACCAGTGTCCAAAAGGCAATTAACTGACACCATTTTTCTCCATTGAAAAAAGTGACCAATAGGATGGGGGCAAGCTACGGAATAACCAGCAGAAGTCAGGTTGTTGGAATCCATATGAAAGGAAGAAGTAACAGTGGCCCTCCGTGCGGTTTTTTGAGAAGAACCCTGGCCAGTGGTGAATGTAGAAGCAGCAGACGCGCTTCCCTTAACCCGTAATCGTTTGACTGCCTCACTTGTAAGTTCCAATATAGCAGACAATGATGGTATTCGTTTACCTGTTAGTCCTATCATTTCCCCCTTCAATTCTTTGGGAAATTTCTGAAAAAGAATCTTGGCCATTAGGCGAGCTCCACCAGAATCGTCCACCGAAAAGTCGCAAGAAAAAGAATTCCCTAGCTCCTCCAAGAGAGAGGCAGTCCTGGAGATAAATTGACCCAGACCAGAGCAGCAGATGTCCTTTTTTAGGAACATAGTCTAGAATGTCTTGAAATATCTGGTCGATTATCTCATCAATGTCCAAATACTCCTCTTTAACACCGAAAGAGCACGCTGATAGTTGGCATCCGTGCAACTCAAATGGTTAATCAGTCTTAAAGCTCTGTCGGAGAGGGAACATTTCAGAAAGTTTAATCTTTCAGAGTCATTGGCCATGCCAACCACACAGTTTTCGAATCTCGTCAAAAATTCCGGAAACTCATGTGGTCGTCAGCCATCTCAAGTCCGCTAAAGGTGGGCCCCGTTATTTGTATTTGCGGAGGTTTGACAACAAAGGAAGCCGAACTTCTTCCAGGTGTTGACGGAACCCCAAACGACTGGGAAACAGGATCCAAGCAGGAACTGGGAGAAATGAACCATCCAGATCGCCCAGTTCTCGGTGGTACTCCATTAGTCGAGGCGCCCATTCAGCTTCGGTCTCAAGCAAGTCCGTCTCGGGAAGGAGCCCAGCTCTAATTTTGTGATACAAGTCTCTCCATTTCGAAGATGTATTGCAGAATATCCTTTCGGAAGACAGAGAAAACATGAGTCGTTACTCTGTCTCCACGACACAACTTCAGTCGTTCCTCGACTTTGATTTTAAGAACAGTCAACCTATGAAGGATCTGTTCTTTAGTAACATCCATTTTTTTTTTTCTTTTTAAAGAAATGCCGTTAACAAAAAAAAGAAAAAACAAATTTCTGTAGAAGGTCCTTTTGCAATTTGTCGGAAAAAAAAAACTTTCGACACAGTAAAGTAGGGAAAACCCAGAAGAGAGCAGCGACAGCCTGGTAAGGGTTGCAAAAGAATCCTCCTCTTGCGACCTGCTCCAACTAGGTCGAGTAACAGAGCAGAAAAAAAGAAATAATCCTTCAGCACGACAAATAACCAGTCACGTGTCGGCTGATAGAGAAAATAGGTCAATCAGAATACAGAGGAGGGTTTTTATAAGGAGGCTAACTGCTTCCCACAATCCTCCTCCGACCAAGACCATAAATATCAGTTGGTCATTTGGTTCCAGTTTAGCTGGACACAATTCCCCCGAGGCTCAAGCAACCCGTCCGTAAGTAACCCCTTCTCTCTTCCTCTTTCCTTTTCTTCACAGCTTCTACCCACTAACCGCTTCCTGTATCTCTGCAACGTTAACTTATTTAGTCTAGGGTTAACCGTTATCTTCCCCAAATATTCCATATTATTCTATCCCTATAAACTGTGCTTATTATTCTGTAACACTCTACCTCGAGTGGCTCATGTGTTTTGTACAGAATGAACATTATTGTTAAAAAATGAATTGAATGAATTATAATATCTAAGGCGAGTTCAAGGGCGTCTAAGCGGCCTTATGGGTGATTAATTATTTTCCATCTTACAACCCTTTTCACGCAGATGAAAAGCTGCAAGCTTCTCGCTACTCTGTCGCTATTTCCGTGGAAAGTGTCCAGATTAATTATATTCCTTAGTCCCACCAGTTCTAACTTTCACGGCTAAGACCCATCAAGTCTGAACATTTTAGCGAACCACCCTCATTTCCTTTGTATTCTATTAGTGATAGCTTCTTCTCTCGAACTATTACTTTATGGAACCGACTCCCAAAAATCTTAACCTGTCCAAATGTAGGGCTAACCGTTCTCCACATATTCTCATAAACTACATCGCGTGACTTTTGAACCTTGTACAGTTGAGATCCATTTAAAGATAATTTATGTCTGTTTTCCCATTTCTGATCGGAATAAAACGTAAAACAACGGTTGTCTGAAAATCTCCTGAATTCAGATCTTCTGCCCGACTTCTTATGTAAAATGAGCGACCAGGTTATCATTTTTTAATCTATCTCTTATTATTATTTATAAAAACACATTTCTATAATAGCCTGGCTTATTTATTTCGCTTTTCGTCATTCTCATTGTTCAATAGAAGAAAAGCTTGTAAAATAACGATTTTTTTATAAATCCTCTTTCATCTTTCTTCATTTTACAAAGGGAAAGATATTATCTTCCCAACGAAAGTTTAACCTTGAATTTAAAAGGTTACGCCCGAATGAAACAAACATACGTGGAAAAATGGATTTTTTTAGATACAACCAAACAAATTATGATGGGAGTGTTTTTAATTATTTAAATGTTCCTTAATTCACCGATTTAATTATTTTACTTATTTCTGCTTTCATTGTCATTAGATTCTTTTTATTTCAAGTTGATTTCTTAGAATACAACTGTTGGTACAAAAAATGCAAAGTTTATGGTATCACTATTTTCTTTCGTTTTGTTTTCATCTTTTTTTTCTCTCTTCTCTCTCTCTCTCTCTCTCTCTCTCTCTCTCTCTCTCTCTTTTTCTCTCTCGTATTTTTCTGTTTTTTTTCTTTTAAGGTTTTTCTCAATTAAAAGTCCATCCCTAAAAAAAATGATCGTTCATGATCAGGATTGTAATGAAATGAAATTGGCTGCTAGATTTTAAATCAATATCTTTCACATTTTCAATGGATTTTCTTTTCTGATTTCTGAATGGAAAAACCAACTGTTATTTTTACTTTCACTTTCACTTCTACTTTCACTTTCACTTCTACTTTCGTTTTCACTCGAAATTTAACAAAGGAGATATTTGTTTGTATTGCTACAAGGCAAAAAGTACTGCTTTCACTAGTTTATTTTCGTGCACTTGTGTTGTGCTTGCTATCATCCGCCTTACGGTTGTCCTAAAAAAATATTAATAGAATTTTATGAAGCTGTAAACAAATAATACAAGTAAACATAACTGTCTACATGATTATATATAGTGGGTGTGCCGATAATGTTGTTAATCTTCGTGTATCATTTAGAAGATATTTCCGCTGGGCGATGAGAATCAAAATAGGGAAACTTCTTTTACTGTTAGTCTTCCTCCCACAAAATATCACATTCTTTCAAGGTATAAATACTTGCTTGTTTCTACTTACAGAACATGATTGTCTTTCTGTTATTAATTTCATTGGTATTTCTGCCATTTTAATGTTAACTACTTTCCATCAAAACTATCCCGTCCGTCATCAGCACAGATTAAAAATAAAAAAAAAGTTGCAGGCGAAATTCGATCTGGTATTTCTTTTATCATTTGTGCCATTACAACCGATGATTGCATAAAACCAAATCTAATCAAATTTACTTAGGATTTTTTCTAAATTGTTTGACGCCATATTTGGTGCTATCGCTTTTGCATGCACTAGTAATCTGGGAAATGTTGTGGGAGCAAACGACCTGTACTCGAATTGAAAATTACTTTTGTGCGTACACAAAAATAGTAAGAGACAAAGATGTGTCGGCACACTGGATTTATTTTTTACAGAGAGCCAATCCTGAGAGAACTAGAACTTTTTAAAGGGATTTATTATCGGTGGGCACAATCTTACGAACATAAGATATGCAAATGACACCGTATAGACGCAGGAAGATACTGGGAGAACTTCTAGAAAGTAGTAAAGTAAAACGAGAAGAAAGCTCTTGCCAACAAATGTAAGATAAAATGGATGGTTATCCACAGAAGAAAAAGTTAATGTCGAAATAAAATAAGCCCCAAAATTTAAATATCTGGGATTTGTTTTAACATAAGATGGAAAATGTATCGCCGAAATTCGAAGGCACATTGGAATAGAAAAAAAAAACTACCTTCCAAAAACTAAACAAAATATTAAGAAACAGAACAGTTTTGTTAAAAACAAAGAAAAGAATGCCGAACCGCTCTGTAATATCAGTCCTCTTATGTAGCAGTACATTCTGGACAATTTCCTCTCAGATGAAGAGAAGACTTAAAGCAACAGAGAAATGGTTCTATAGAGGTATACTGAGAATACTATGGATGGAGTATGTAAGCAATGAGAATTTTTAAAGGAAATTAGCAACAAAAAGGATACATTTTAAATAAGAAAGAAACAGTTGACATTTATCGAGCACATAATGAGGAAATACGGTTTGGAACATTAGACACACACAAGACATAGAAGACAAGAAGGAAAGAGGAAGACAGCGAGTTGCCTACCGAACGAGCTTATATAAATAGATGAGAGAATAGGGAGTGGGAGAAATACTAAAAATACAAATATTGCTAACAGTTACAAAGAATAGAAAGTTGTAGAGAGCTATGATCGCTGATGTACTGAAGGAGAAGGCACATAGAAGAATTAATAGTTTTAATAGTAATCATATTATCATGAATTATTTCATTAGATGAAACATTTTCAACCATTGTTAATTTTTATTAGTATCCCTTTCATTTTAGTTGTTTTTAAACGAGCTGTGTACTGATGGTCTGAATAGTTGCGATGAAAAGCACCTGAAATTAAGATGTAAGAAATAGTTTTCAAAATTAATAATGGTTGATTTTGTTTCTTCTATTAAAAATAATGATAATATTGCTAAGAATGTTCTTATTCTCTCGTTTTCTTTGTTTTTTGTTTTTTTCTAGTATGCTGTTACAAAGGCAAGAACAATAAGCACATATTGTGGGCACCTCGAGGCGGTGTAATGGTTTACAAGCTTGTCTGGCTAGAACAATTACGACTGAGTAGTGAGTTCTATCATGACTGGGTGTCCCATACATTCGGCTTTGTGCTACATCTAAGCCACGCGTGGGAAATCCCTATACTGAGATATATTGCAATATTTTATGAGCCTTACGTTTTGTATTCAATATTTAACTAGTTAAGGTATTTGAGAGTCTTGAATGTATTTTCAATGTATTTCTTCTCTTCGTATAAATATTAAGGGCTGCAAATTCTGAGTGCTCTTTAGTAGAATCCGATGATTATTCTGGATTTTATTTTGTTGTTATGGTGGGAATAGAAATTTATGAGATCATTTTTATTAGTTGATTTTTGATGGACACTAAATTTTAAGCTGCTGTTAACGCAGTTGTAGTAGGAATGGTAAAATATTGTTTTCTTCCATTTCGTATGTAAATTCTATTGTATGTTCGACTTTGTTTAGTTTATTTACAAGACAAAGTAAATCAATATCACGGAGATATA